ATTTTCCCTCTTCACAATGGCATTGGTTTAAATGTGACACATGATTGTCGGCTATATTTCTGTGTCTGGCAGGTGCACTTGAGAATTTATATCCATTAAACAGACACTATTTTATCAAACCCTATTAAAACTTTTCAAATGCCCCTTGTACATGTGTTTCACCTATTTAAAATCCTTAATTAGATACAGATGAAATTCATGATGGTATGAATCTGGAATTATACTACCAGTGAGAAGGGAGTTTGTGATCCATAAAGTGTTCAGAAGAGAGGAAAAGAGATTTGTTAATTGGACATTTTCATTTCCAGCAATGAGCATGCATCAAGTTATGTCATTGAAAAAACTTTTTTGTGAAAAGAAAATGCTTATATATAAGTAAAGACAAAATTATTTCTTGGTTTGGTGGAAGGATATTTTAGCTTCATGTGATTTTTATAAAAATGAATGTGTGAAAGATGTATGAATGTGTTAGGCTTGAAGTTTCAGCTGATAAATGTAATTTTATATGATGTCATTGTGTACATGTGTTGGATATCATTCTTTTGTCAATTTGTTTTCATGACCTTGTAATGTTTCAAAACAAATTTTGTAAAGGAATATTGACTGAAGTATTGAATGTATGTAGATATACTAATGAAAGTAAAGTCTTTTTTTGAAATTCACATCTTTTAATTTCATTAATATTTGGAGCTAGAGGTATTTCAAAAGCTATTGCAAACAGAATTTATGTCAAAAGTTTATTTTTAAAACAAATGGCCAAATACTAGTACATGTATATAAAGAACCTTTCCACAGTTCATCTCTTATTAGAATGAACACTAATTAGACCAAGTTAGAAATGACTAATTTAACTTAAACTTATAAATAGATGTAGATTTGGTCTTGAAGCAAATTTGATTGATTTTTGATCTTACTGGTTAAGACTGGAAAATTTTTCTCCTATTCATTCAATATGGTCAATGTAGGATGTTTAAGTATTTCTTATAGATATTGGAATCAACCTGTATGTAAAGCTTTTATTACTTATATGGAAAATTTTAAGTCTGCCACAATATGATCAGGAATATTGGTAGTATAGACACCTGTAATGATATTATCCATGATGATTATGCCCCCCTTCGAAGAAGGGAGAGCATATTGCTTTGCTGCTGTTTGTCGGTCTGTATGTCTGTCGGTCCACCAACAGTTTCCGCTCATTTTCTTTGCAGAGGTCGCACATATTGAAATGAAATTTGCTATACAGATTTTTCATAAAAACATCTAGGTCAAGTTCTATTTAAGGTACGATCGATCAATTTTTGACAGAGTTATGCCGCTTGGACTTGGAAAAATTCCAATTATAGAGGGGGGGGGGCATAAATGCTTCACAAACATCTCTTGTTTTGTTCAAAATAAGAGTTAAAGCCAATAAAGGTTGACAATGTATCACAAGCTTGTTTTTTAATGTGCCAGTATATCTTCATCTGCTTTTGTTTTGCCTTTCAATATTTTTAATCAAAGTTGTAAGCAGGCAATGTTATAAGTCATCTATGACCAGTAGCATCAAGCTGGGCATTTGCCAAGACGTATGATGCCAGAAGATCGTTATCTGTAAAAACAGTCAAATATATCCATATAAGTAGTCTTTAAGGACAGATGATACAAACAAACAAACAAAAATCTTGAAAATAACAAATCATGTTTATGTAAGTAAAATGAATAAGTTTAACCGCATAGATTTTAATTTTTCATTCAAAGTTTCGCAATAATGGGATTTAAAGTGACAATAATATGTATAGATTAATAAGGATTGTTGCAGAAAGATAGAATTCTAAATATCATGGAAAGTAAATAATTTCTTAATATTTTAGAAATATTTACAACCCAAATAGTTCCAAAAATATATACCAATCTAGGCATTCATTCTTTTTTTGTATCATCTGTCCTTAAATTTTTCCATAACAGACTATTTCAGCGCAAAGAATTCTAATTTGCGTGCTTGATAATTTGGTTTAAAGCTTTACTAAGATTTCTGCTTGCATAGCTATAAAGTGTTCGAGTCCATCCTCTTTTTCCTGATAAAGAACTGCACCTAACCCATGCCTAAGTTTGCAACTTGATCAGGGTACTAATATGGGATAAGATAATTGACTTTTAAGAAAATTAAAAAGCATGTTTTTTAGTTCTTTTTCCCAATTTATATTCTGCTAACTGGTTATTGGACATTTTCTTTCTACCGCGGCTTTTCTTTGTTAAGTAGGCATGAGATTTAATAAATGTTAAACAATTTTTGAAAAAAAAATTGTTAAATTTTCTGTGTTAACCTAAAATCCACAAAATTGACAAACTGCACAAGATTTGAGATGAGGCCATTCCTGCACCTTTTGATTCTCTCATCAGGCTCAATGCTTTTCTCGGACCAAGGTTCTCTTTCACTTGTAATTTTACTGTGGCCATGACGTACGCGAAGTACTAATATTTGCGGTCTTTTTGCGACGAAACCACAATCTTAACGTAATTGAAAATCACGCATTACTGTTATGTAGACACTTTCCTTCGTATACAGTGGTTCCCGTTTTATCGAATAGTCAAGTTGTCAGCCTTGTTTTATCCGAATAGCCGAAAATTAGAATAGCCGATTGCTCCATACCGAGTCCAAAGATAGATAGAGCTACATGTATTGATAATACATCGTAGCAAATTTCAAGCTTGCACTTTCGTTTTCTTTTGACATGTTTACTTAATGACTTTACTAAAAATAATTTATTTCACTTACTTATGAATTTAATATGAAATTTTTTTTCAAGTAAATTGACGTATAGAATATATTCTTTGATAATTATTGCCATCTTTCTTCAGCACATGTTTACATTCCTTCTTCGATGGTCGCCATTTTGGAAACGGAAGTAGATTAAATGCTTGACTAATAACCGTAAACTATTTTTCCCTGGATAGATTGTAAATTAAAAATAAACAAAAATATTAAATATATGTAATTGTTTCATTTTTATTTGTTTCTTTAATACGGTTACGTATTTTATACTGTGTGTGAGTTTACCAGTCTCGTTCTTGTCTGCTGAAGAAAGATTTTGAGAACCATGTGGAGAAAGATGATATGAATTTTGAGACGTATTTTTATAGAACGGGCCATTTATGATTTTTACCATAAATTTTGCACTGAAAAGTGAATAAATATTAAGCCAATTGACCAAGTTAAACGATTGAATAGGCTTATTTCATTATCCAAGCAAATTGTCATACACAAGCTAATCAGTTCAATAATTAAAATTTCACGCCGAAAAAATTGTAAATAATTGTCATAATTAACAAGTGCATCATTGAACCCAAGCTGATCACCACAACTGTAATCAAAACATATCTATTTACTATGCCCACTATTGACACAGGTAAGGTGCCTGTGTGCGTCCAGCCGTAACTAAACCCCTCATTGTCGTACTCAAGCCAGTCAAGGTAATTGGTGTCAAACTGTGTAAACAAAGGCTTCACATACGAAGTTGGAGGTGTGAACAAGGTACTGATTATCAAAAAACACTATGATAGTCCAAATTTTTGTATCGGATAAAACGAAATTCCAATATTTTCTCATCAGAATATCAGGTGAAATTATTAATAAATATATAAGAAATGGTTTTGTGCTCTGATATTATATTGAAATAGCCGAAATATTCGTTAAACCGCTATCCGATAAAATGGAAGCCACTGTATAATACATACGACTTCACTAGGGAATGTTTCTGGGGTGGGGTTGGAGTCATTTTTGGATATTTTGCTATATTTTAATAACTCTTAATATAATCGGGGGTTCAGACCCCTGCACTACTCCGGGATAACAACATATTTCACCTCAAACTTCATTTCTACATGATAATTCCAAAAGTTTGTCTGAAGGAGGTTTATTTGAGTTTCATATTGCAGAAATCTGTCATAGAGATACCCTTACTTCTGGATTCTCAAGGACAAGGTTCCAGTATTTTACAGATACACGAAGATAAACATTTCCTTTATCTTGTAGAGTTGTTCCTCTCTCCAAGAATGAAACCACTTGTTTTTTTTTCCATTAACTTCTTTTTCGCTTTCTTTTCCCTTCTTGTATTACCTTCCGCATGCCCAGATGTTTCAACCATCCCTTTCCCAGTGTGACCTAAGCAGTTGTTAGACATCTACACAGGCAACTTTGCCACATATGATCCACATATGTGTATCATATGATTGGTTTCATATGAGAATCATAAAAAAAGGGCATCATATGTGAATCATATGAAGCAAATCATATGAGTCACATATGATTCACATATGTGAATCATATGAAAAGAATTTCATATGATTTGCACATGAAAAGTTTTAGTGTGTTTCAAGTCATTTACATATGAGAATCATATGAAATGGGCATCATATGTATATCATATGAAACATTTATGTTTTTTTTTTCATATTTATCAAAAGGAAATACACACTTGTACACATTGAAAATCAGGTATTTCTGCTTTAGATGAAATTTCAGTACATTCCAATGATCTATTAAATACCTGTAAATATTTGATAATGCTTGCACAATTTTCCAAAAGTATCTTCATCAACAGAAATAACTAATATCACACAGTGCACACTTTAAACAAGAAAGTATACAAACAAGTCAGTAGCATTTGTCGATACATGTATTTTACATATTCTAAAACGAGTACAAATTATTTGAAAGGATTTCAGCAAAATGATCAAGGAGATGAACATGTATACATGTACCCATGAATAAAATAATTAGATCATGAACTTGTATAAAAATACTATATGACATGGAAGTGTCCTTAGCAAAATTGAAATATCTGCAACAACATTTGTCAAGATATGTAATCTCTATTGTAAATTTATGACAAATCATAAGTAATTCAGATTACATGTACCTACAGCATATTTAACACATAAATGAGTATGAAATCACAAAGGATGATGTCTCGATTGAACAAAGATACATATATATATATATATATATATATATAGTTTTTCATAAAAATGTTTATGTATTTATGCATAAAGCATGAAATATAAAATGTGAATACATTAGAATGAGATTTTACAATCAAAATGATATTCCAGTATACAAATAAATAGAAAGCCTTGCATGTCAAAGTCTGACAAAATTAAGTACATCCTTCTCATTCATATTTATTCCAGATATTTCCTAATTCTTTTCTTTCTCTGTCAACTTTTCCCATTTGTTCTCCCTCTGATCTTCCATCATCATATTGAAAATTCTTTGAACTGTACCCAAAATGCAAATCCACCAATGTCCCCTATCTGAACAATTTGTTTGTGGCACAGAATAATCTCTAAAAATTATTTTTAAAATAATTAGCATTAATAATAATAACAAGAGGTCCATGGACCACATTGTTCACCTGAGCAAACAATGGCAAACTCACTTAACTCTGACACAAGTGGCTTTTGTGAAATGTGTGTCAATACAAAAAAAGTGCTGGAATAAATTGCAAAAGTATTTTTTTGATATTTGTTCCATACTGATCAAATTTACTCAAGATTCCCTCCTTAGGCCCCACTATTGTAGCAATGTAGAAATTGTTAAAAAGACTTAATTTTTTCCTATACACAAGTATAAATTACTATGTAAAACTTTGCAACCCTTCAGGGGCCCCACTGGTGGTTTAGTGGTCATTGTTTCAACAAACTTGAAACAACACTGCATAGGGATGTTTGCAAAATAATATCACAAATTGTAGTGTGGTAGTTCTTGAAAAGCAGATTTTTAAAGACTTTACCCTATATAATCTGTAGATTGAACTTTGAACCCCTACTGGTACCTTACTATTGGTCCTCTTTGCCAAGTTCAGTTGAAATTAGTCCAGTGGTTCTGGAGAAGAAGACATAAATGTGAAAAGTTTATGCCAACAACGATGATGATGGACAATGGACAATTTTGATCAGAAAACTTCACGTGAGCCTTTGGCTCAGATGAGCTAAAAACAAGTACTTTCATTTAAAATGAAAGTACTTGTTTTTAGCTCATCTGAGCTGAAGGCTCAAGTGATTCTAAAGATGAATATGATTGGAAAAATTGTTTGTGACATCCAACAAACATGAACTAATTTTCTATCATTGTATCATTGATCATATTTACTAGCAAAGATGTCCTTCCAATAAACAAATATATATCTCAAAATTTTAACATTAAAGTTTAACTTCAATATTTTTACAATTTAAAATGTTGACTCTTACTGTTTTCATACTAGCATCAGTGTGAAGTATTCCCTCTCTGGATTTGTTAGCATAATTGTAGGAGGAAGGAAACATTTTCATCGATAATTATGTAGAGACTTAATGGAGGGACCCTCTACATCAACTTCTTTGTTACCCATCAGCTAAAACATTTTTTTCTAAACAATTCAATTCACAATGTATAGCTTAAATGGAATGCAGTGCAAAATTTTGTTTTGACAAGGTAATTCAATTTAGCAATAGACTTTGATACTTCTTAGGATGATATGTAACATATATAAATAAAATGTGTGCACACCTTTGCTCTGATCTGATTTCTGTAATATGTGAATTCAGTGGATCCAAAGCTAGACATAACTCCCATAACATTTCATGTCCAGCCAGCCTTCTATGCCAGATTGCTGAGCATCTCCTGAATGAATAAAGCAATGCATTTTTCACTTATTTTTCTATACATCAAACACATACTAAGATTCTTCAAGAAAAAATGCTTCACTATTATACATATTGACTATAAACTTTATTAGTTTCATATAACATGACATACATGCTCAGTGCATCTACTTAAATGCTCAGTGCATCTACTTAAATGCACAATTCTTGCAAAATACATGTAGTTAGCTAGCATTTATATTCATCATACCTGTACTTCTGTATCCTTAAAAGAAATCCAGGGGTTGATGTTAAATCTTTTTTTAAGCCAATTGACATTCTCTCTGCAAATTTTTAATCTATATAAAAAAATAATAGATATAATATATATAATCCATTTCTGCTTGATGCAGACCCCCAAATCATTAACCAAAGTACATGAAAATGTATACAATGTACTTTCAATGCACATGTAATAGTACCTTGAATGTCTGATTAAGCTAAAAGTCATTATCCCCCAGAAGATAATGTATAGTTTTATAGTTCTTCATAGTTTTTATAGCCAGCAAGTTCTATAATATATGACTTACATATTTTCATATGTTTTCATACTTATACATGTATATATATTTTATTAGTGTGCTGGATTTGTTCTATAGAAAAAGAGTTGGATTTATTTAGTTTTTGATATATGTTTAAGTCATTACTTATATATACTGTGATGATTAATGTATTTATTTATTTATTTTTACCTGCATTGTGATCATGCATCGTCTGCCAAACCAGCTTTGGGTTTAAATCGTCAGTCAAATCAGCTTTGTGTTCAATCGTCAGTCTAATCAGCTTTGGGGTTCTTTGAACAAAAAAAAAAAAATACAAAAACAGCACTGTGACACTGAACTCAGTTCCTAAATACATTATTTAAAACACGTTTCTCATTCATTTGATGAAAGAACCGAATGAATAACGATCTCAACAAACATTTTATGTTAACTGCTTTACAAAGTTTCTACTTTCACTTTCATATCGAATATAAATATCAAGCGTAGCTATTAACAAAAGGGAAATAAATCTGAAAAATAAGTGATGCTAAATGGCCTAAACATTCGTCGTTAACAAACAAAATTACCGTACTCATTCAATAAGTAATTTATTGATCACTAGGTTTATCGGCTTTTTACGAACTGCATTAATTTAACAATTATATACAAGTGATGAGAGTACTAGAAAGTTTATACGGATCTGTTACCGTAATGAAATGATCTAAACACAATGAACTGGCCTTTAAAAAGTCTTTTAAAACGTATCCGAAATCACTTACTTTTTTCAACACCCAACTCTTCTGCTGCAGAAGTGACGTCAAACATGACGTACACTTTCATCTGATAAAAACCGAAACCGGTCCGTAAATAAAATGTGGAATGATTTTAATTTTACTCATAAAATAAAACCAACCATAACGGTTTTTGGATAAAATACAAATCAATTTATTCTTGATGAATTTTGTTTTTCAAGAAAACAAATTTTGAATTTTATGAAAGGATTTTTTTTTTTTGGGGGGGGGGTTAACAGAGTACTTATTCCCTTTTTATCCAAGCTTCTTAAGGAAATGAACATCTTGATTCTTTTGAATAAATATACATTTAAATTTACACATCTTGATATATGTTATTGAAATTATTTTTTAATCATGCAGTCTACTTGTTAAAATATAACACCAACTTATTCATATTAAGCTTAATATGAAATTACTCAAGTGTTAACTGATTAACAGTTAATAAACGTATTTTTTTTATCTCATTGAATTAAAATAAAAATGAATTTTACCTGCTTATAACAAGGACAAATAAATAAACACACACAGATCTGTTTCATATGATTCCCATATGATAATTCTCAAAGTATGCATATGATTCTCATATGCAGAACTTTTCATATGTGTATCATATGTATATTGCTTCATATGATTTACATATGCGTATTCATATGATCCACATATGATTTGCCACATATGATACTCATATGATTGAATATACATATGATTCTCATATGATCCTCATATGATCTTCATATGAAAAGCAATGCATATGTGGATCATATGTGGCGAAATTGCCTATGTATTTAGTATATTTTCCTAGTATTTTTCATACCCTTAAAGCCTTTTCAACCCTTTTCTTTCCTCTCTGTTGACCTATATGTCAGTCAACTTTCGGCATAATGACGGGTTGTAATGGCAAACAAGGCCATTGTATCAATCATAAAAATTGCAAAATGTTGAAGTTTATCGATATTGTTGATATTCCTGTATCACCAACTTATTTGTCAGTAGCGTGCCTTGGTTTAGAAATTGTTCGTATGGAGAACATGCTCTCGCGTATTGAATCAACTTCAAAATGCAACCTTAAGTAAACACATGTAGTCTTTCTCATTGAAAATTTATTATTTACCAATTTTGTTGATAACTTATACATGTGTGTAACTACGCGTGCAGTAGATTGACTTTTTTTTTTTTAAATGTATACAATATATATCAAAAATTCAAAAATATTTGCCGGTCCGTTTTCGTAATTTCCAACTAGATTGGACTGTATATAAATACGTTCAATTACTTGTAATTGAAGCGAACTCGATTACAAATACTTGCAATTATACACTTTGAAAAAAAAAAGTATTTACGAGATTACTCATTTCAATTACCCCAATGAATTTTGCACCAAGTGATTACCCTTCTATCGCCACACTTAAACATAATATCCTCATGACCCAGGTGTGAAGAATTAGCTTCTTGCAATGTCTTCTTGGCTAACCACGTTTACCAGTTTTAATGTTCACTCTTACACCATTGCTTGGTTCCTATGATGTACAAACCATTGCTACTACAGAAGCTCCCTGAAATCCGTCCCCTAAGGTAATCGCTAGCAGCCGCTCCATAGCATCGACTGTTGTCAAAGGTAGTGTTATATACATTTGTACACGTAGAGGTAATAGAAGTTGCTGAAGACACAATGTTGGTAGATCAATGCCTTGTATTTTCCTAGATCTTCATGTGACAGGGCGAGTCGTCGTCAGAGAACTTTTCCAATTAGCTCTTGACCGTTTTTTTCTAGGACTGATTGAATAATTTCTTCTTTTATTTTGAACTTCTCTCCCGTCAATCTTCCCTTCCTCAAGACAAGGTTCATGGACTTTGTTGGTTTATTCTTTATACGAGTCCAATTGATGTCAGAAGTCCTCATTCTCCTTCCATCTTGAACATTTTGCTTCGATGATGGTCTACGTGCTGATTGTCAAATTGTCCATAATCGTTCTGAAAGGGGGTTGTCTCACACCAACCCTTCACACATGTGTTGCCAATATATTTTTAAATCTTGGATGCATGGTGACTTTAACTGCAGCATGTCGAAGTAACTCTTAAGCAGCTTGATTTCTGAATCCTATCTGGTATAAAGGAATTGCTATATTGTAATTTGGACTTGTTCATGAGGCAAAGATCCATAAACATTGGCTATATCCAACGATATGTCTATTAGTTTATCTCCTTCTCTTCCCTCATAATTTGCGCTAGAACACTCGTATGTTTAGCACATCAGAAAGAAATGCGCGGCACTATTTGTTTTGCATTGCGATGTTTAGGTACCTGTCGGATGGCATACACAAGTACTCCGAAGTTGATATTAAAAAGATGTTTGAGTTTCTGATTGACAATATCTATGTAGTTTTTGGAGATCAAGTCTTCCAACAATCTGTCGGAATTTCTATGGGTACTTATTGCGCCCCGTTATTAGCAGACCTATTTTTTTTTTACTCATATGAAGCAGATTTTTTTCAAAAATCTCTACATGAAAAGAAGTCTCTTGCTGTGGCCTGCATTTCAACAATTAGATATATCAACGACGTTTTATCAATTAACAATATTCATTTTCATTCTTACGTTCATTCCATATATCCCTTTGAACTCGAAATAAAAAATACCACAGAGTCTAACACATCTGTTTTCATATTTGGATATTTTACTAGAAAAAATCGTTACCTAACAGCAAAACTTTATGATAAACGTGATGACTTCAACTTTTCTATCGTCAACTTCCCTTATTTGTGTATCAGTACACCATAAGCACCTGCATATGGGGTTTATATCAAAAATAAGCTCAATATCTGCAAGCGTTTAGAAAAAAAAAACGGAAAACCCTGAAAAATTGAGAAGGTCGTAATTCCATCAAATATCATTGAAGCGAGACAAATGCAAACTTGATCTGTAACTCATCAAGATACACTCACATACCAAAAATCAGCTCAATATCTGCAAGCGTTTAGAAAAAAAGTGAGGAAAACCAAGTGGGACAGACTGACAGACAGACGGACGGACAGATTCAGAGAAAACCTATAGTCCCCTCCGGTTTCACCGGTAGGGGACTAATAAGCTGATGAAGCAAGAATCAACAGTCTCATTTAAAGTCAAAATTTCGTAAAATCTATGGTCGTTATACAATGACCTGTCGGCAAATACAATCGATCATTAAGTCGAGTGCTGACTGACTTTTTTCATACAAATTGGTAGGCCATTATTTTCACACTGAATTGTTTAAGAATTTTTCCTTAAGCCCAATATCATGACAAGGAGCACACGACGGGAGTGACCGGTCAACAGGGGATGCTTAATCCTCCATGGCACCTGATCCCATCTCTGATGTTTTTAGAGGTCGGTGTTTGCTCTGCTCCAAATTTTTATTTTTTCAATGGACTTTTGAGCTCGATTACTGTTCTCTATATTCATATCTCATACAGGTGGTCACCCACTTATCCAAAATTACAGTTTTCAACAGTAATACAATATTGAACTGTTTGAAGCATCAAACTTTTTGCTTACTGCCCACTTCTCTATAGGACTCTCTAGTTTCCATTATCGTTGCGTCAACCTTGGACAAATTCTTGTATTAGATTCCGTTTTGTCCTTAATTATGACGGTGCCTTCATGATCTCTAGCTTATCGTAACTTTTGTTCCGATTCATTAATCAAATGATCTACATGTAGTTTTTCTTGTTGAATCAGCTTCTCATACTTGCCTTAATCTTCGTCTCTGCTTCGGCCGCCAGACATATCCCTTAGATGCTGTTCAACTTCTTTCTTTCCGGATAACTTTCCAGATCCTTTTCTGCCTTAACACGTTTCAAGATGTAAGTTGTAATGGATTGACTGTAAATCGAGCTCTTGTCCATCCTTTTTCTTCTGCGTGATTCTTTCTGCCTTTCTCTTTAATTTCTCTCTGATATTTGCCCGTAATTCAGCCAGAGCAATTTCCTATTCTGATGTACTGAACCTTTTTACCAGATGTCTCCATTCTCGCCTCAAAATGTTAATCTCTGTCTATTCTTTGCTGCTCCTCTAGTTTGTTACTTTTCCTTCGTGCAAAATCTGTCCAGACATCGACGCCATTCCTTTGACTTTCGACCCTTAACTATTCTGTACGTCAGAACAGTAGCATGGAAGCCAGGGTGCAAGAAGAGGGCTAAATCAGCTAATATCAAGTGGCCACCTAGTAGCCACAATATGGAATGGGAGAAGATTGACAATGGTGTAAAAAATCTTCAGTGTCTCATTGGTTACCAATTCTCTATGGCTGCCCATTTATTGACTGGTACATGGACATGGTGGTCGCTGTTGGTAGAGCCCTAAACTACCTCTATAAACAAAAATCTTCCAAGAAAAGCGGGGCCATATTGTTATATAAAATCATGTAAATAATAATCTTCCCAAATTGTGTGGATTCATTTTATGAACCTAGGGGTAATGGTGGGACTGAATTCAGGAATCGATTTTTTTAAATTTTATTTTATTTTATTTATGTTTTTTCATTTATTTATTTTTGTTATCTTTGTAAAATCTTCTTTTCAAGAAAAGCAGAGTTATATTATTATTACCGCATTTCCATGTTTGTAGATTGGATTAGATTTTGGTCATGTTGTTACCCTGTAGGATAGGATAGGATCACAATATGGGTCAACATTTCGGTGATGATAAAAGGGGTGAAAATAATTCTGATAAAAATCTTCCTCCTCAAGAACAGCTTGGCCAAGGTGAATCAGGTGACCAATGTAATCTAAAGATCTCCGTTTTTTATTTTATTTTTATTATGCTCCCGTTATCGAAGATTCGGGGTATATGGTTTTTGTCCTGTCCGTCCGACTGTCTGATTGTTTATCTGTTTGTCTGTTTGTCCGCAAAAACTTTAACTTTGCACATAACTTTTGATTGGTTGGAGCTATGGGTTTCATATTTCACATGTGTATTCCTTGTGACAATGCCTTTCTTTGGGTAACAACATATTTGACCACTAGACCTTGACCTTGAAGGTTGACCCAATTTTGCAAGAATTTACCCAACATTAACTTGGCCATAACTTTTGAACAGATGGTGCTAGGGCTTTCATATTTCACAGGTGCATTTCATTTTACAAGGCCTCTGTTTAGACACCAATTTTGACCTTTTGACCTCGACCTTGGA